CCTGATCCCAGGCCCCAGAGTTGGGTCTTCCCCTCTGTTACCCCTCTCCCACGCAGTTCGCACGGTTCCCAGGAGGGTCACGCCTCCAGGCAACAGGGTTTGAGGAATCGCCATGGGTTTGGGTCTGAGTCCCAACCTGGAGGCATCTGCCTGGATTGCCAGGAAGCTCTCGGCCCTACTCCACTGGCCACAGTAATGGAGGCTGGGCCTCAGGCCCTGACCCTCTGCCCCTGGGCGTGGGGGCTCATGGGGGGAACCCATGGCATCTGGCACATTGCGGGTGCCCCACCTGAGCAGTTTCTTGGCTGAGACATGGGGCGATTTAAGGCCTGTGGGGTTGTCTGATTTGAGCCCGAGACAGCATCTGGGCTGGGGGCAGGAAGCTTGAAAGAGGCAGGGTTCCCCAGGGAGCTGGTCTCATGGAGTACCCCCCAGGGCCCACCAGGAATCACAGGGACTCAGAAACACCTGTTTTCTAATGACGTTTGGAGTTTGATTTTTGCTTTTGTTTTTCAATCTGGCTGGCCCTGGGTCTAGACACCGAAAACCCTAACCAGTCCAGTCTGGTTCCAGGACCAGGACAAGCAGTGGGCCGGTTTTCACAGTGGGCTCAGTAGCCATGAGGTGTGAAGGTCTGAGAGGGTGTGTTTCTGCCACACATGCATTTCCCATTGTGGCTGCCATTTCCCCCTTTTATTCTGTCCTGTTCCCGTTCTTGCTTTAGTCCCCTGGGTGCGAAGACCCCTCCTCTGTCCTTCCTGCATGTCTCCAGCAGCCAACTCCAGTCTTGTCTGCAGACTCTTGTTCCCAGGGGGCCCGAGCAGCCTGTGATGGCTGTCCCGTTGGGTAAACGTCACACCCACCTTCTCTCCCAGCCTTGCCCAGCGCTCAGGAGAGGCAGGGGCACCCCTCACAGGGAGACGGGATGGGAACATGAGGGTGCCCAGGCCGGGGGTCCGCCCCTGGTGGGTGAGACTGAATGAATGTCTCGGCAGTGCCCTCCTCTGAGCTGCAGGCTGGGCTGGAGCAGGGAGGGCCCCAGCGTTACTCGCCCCAGAGCGCCTCTCCAGGGTGGCTCCCACCCAAGTGCACCTCGCCAGTGCCGACTCCCCTTACCCCCAGCCCTGCACACAGTTGGACCTTTGCCCTCGGCAGTCATACCCCTCTCACTGAGGGGTATGGCCTGATTTGGAGTTACATTTTGATGCCATGAAGACACTTTGTTTATACATAATGTTTATATATTTTAAAGATTTGTGCCAAGAGAGTATATTTAATAAAAATCAAAATGATTTTTTTTCTCCTGCCCATGTCTCTTCTTCAGCTCTGACCCTCATCCCCTAGGAACCAAAAACATGGTTGAAGTTATTTTGACAGATTGTCGAATAACCTTTTTTTTTAAAAAAAAATGTAATTGCTGTATGGATTGTTAACCCTAACCTTGATTTGGTCAGGATTTGCTAGAAAATGCAAACTGCATGAAGAGTTTACTGTGAAAAGTAGGTCTGACTCCCTGTTCCCTTTGCAGGGACATCTCCCATTACCAGTGCCCCCTCCCGGAGAGATCCTGCATGCACACACTTGTCCCTTTGGGGACATCTGTCGGGATGGGCTGTGACCTGCTTCAGTGAGCACTGCCCCAGAGTCCCATGGTTTCTCCAGAGACCTCGGTCTGCTCTGTGATGGGCTGAGGCTTCTGGCATGAGTGTCACTGTCCACAGGGGCAGGAGGGTGAGGCCACCAGAGGGCTCCCAGGGGTCCTGAGACTCGCCTCACCTGCAGCCCATCGTGTGGAATGGCCTGCAGCACCCACCCAGCCCGGGACCAGGAGTGGGCGCCTCCGTGGGCAGGGGAGAGACAGGCCGGGCGAGCACACGTGCCCGTGCACAGAGGTAGACTCGGTCCCGGGATGGCCCACAGGCTGCTCTGCGTGCTGCGTTCATCCAGCCATATTTCTTGCAGGTCGGTAGCTGTCAAATACAGGATGCGTTTAGTAGCAGTTTCGTGTTCCCCAGAGGGATGGCCTGTGATGAGATCCACCAATCCCTATTGACCAGCAGCTAGGTTGTTACTGAGTTGTTGCCATGCCAACCTGGTAGTGGCTCCTGCAATTCCCCCCCCCCCCCAACATCCATCCCAACTTCTGGTCAGTCCCATTTCTCACACCGTCTCCTGAGCCTGAGGGGTGATGTCGGCCCCTCCTCACTCTCTTCCAACATTGTGGCATCCCCTAATATACAGAGGTGAGCTCTTGACCCCGTCTGGACCTGTGACAATAAAGATGTTTGCTAACCACTTCCAGGGAGACCCTCAAGATGCACCCTCCCTCTTCCACTGGCCCAGGAGATGAAACCCCAACCCTGGGTGGTTGTTGGCGCTATCTTGTGACTGCAAGGTCGGAAGGGTGAAGATGCCACTGCAGAAAGTGGAGCAGAGGGACTTTCCTGGTGGCCCAGTGGTTAAGTCGCCACACTCCCAGTGCAGGGGGGCCCAGGTTCAACCCCTGGTTAGGGAACTAGATCCCACAGGCCACAACTAAGACCTGACTTGGCTAAATAAATTTTTTTTTTTTTTTAAAGTAGAGCAGAGATGAGCAGAGAAATTGGATTTCTTGGTGACATTGTTTGGGATGCTAGATTCAGTTTTACCTGAAGCCAAACTACCTGTCGACTTCCAACAACACAACTCATTTTATTCCATATTTAAAACAGAGTTGAATTTCCTGGCCCTTTCTGACACAAACCTCCTGTATGTACCTCATTGAGCTCATAAGGTAGTATTCCTGTAGCCTAAGTTTCTAGGAATGAAATTTCTGGATAAATATCAGGGATATATTAATAGTATAGTTGATGCTGGTGGCAAGCCTGGCGTTCATGGTTCCCACCCTATTTTTAGCTGTAAGCCACCTGGACCCAGCCTAGGGTTCCCTGCCGGAACACAGTCAGGAGCCAATGACTGTGGACAGCTGAAGCATATGTGATGCAGCCCCTCAACACCGGCATGGGACCACTCAGGCTGTGCACCACGCTTTCCCGCTGAGGTCCCCAGCAGGACCCAGCCCAGATCGCCCAGAGTCACTGGCTCATTGGCGCTCCCTACTGGCTTCTTTCCTCCCTGTCTGACATCCCTACCCTCCTAGAGGCTTCCTGAGGTCACCTCTCAGGTGAGGTCCCTGAGTCTTAACAGACAGGGTCATCTTTGGGGGGAAATCTATCCAAATATGAATAGAAACATCAGCTATTCCTGCAAAGAGATTGTATCCATGTACACCACATGCCTCACGTCTGAGTTTCCTATGGCCACCCTAACAGAGTACCATGGGCTGAGTGGCTTAAAATAACAGAACTTAATTTTGCCAAAGTTGGAAGCCAGAGGTCCAAAATCAAAGTGTTGGCAGGTTTGGTTCTGAGGGCCAGGAGGGAAGGATGTTTTCTAGATCTGTTATTGAGCTCTGACTGACCGACTTCTTCCTGTGTCTTCCCCCTTGTCTTTCCTCTGTGCTAGTGTAAGCAGAGAAGTTAGGGGGTTCCAGGAGAAAGAGAACCAGGAATGGCTCTCGACATAAGAGAAGCCGTTTTGGCCTAAGCCACTTTGATCTCAGCCAGGCTGCACTGCTTATCCTTGAACAGGTCTCAGTAATTAATGATCTTAAGGGAACAAAGGAAGGCGGGAACAGAGAAAAGGCAGTCAAACAATAGTGTAGTAATAAAGCAGAGTCCCAGTTCCTCCCCTTTAAATTTTTTAATTGATGTTGATTTATAGTGTCGTATTGTGTAAGTTTCAGGTGTGTAGCACAGAATATGTATATTCTTTTTCAGATTCTTTTCCCTATAATATATATCTTCAAGTTCTGCAGGAACTAAGGCCCCCAAGCAGGTGGAGGGTGGAATGATGTTGATTCTTCTGACTCCAATCAACTAAAGCTTGGATTCTGTGGACCTTTGCCCCAGTTCTATGCTGAATTCTCCTCTGCTCAAGCCCTTTCATGAATATACGTGTACCCTGAGCTTAAAACTTCCCCAGTTTTGCTTTCAGGGAGACACTGCTTTGGGAAAGATCCCCAGTGTTTCCCTTACTTGCTGAAAGTCAACATAACTCCTTCCATTCATCTTCAGCTTGGTTGTGTCAGTTGGCTCAACACCTACCAAGAGGTGACCCTAGTTTTCAGGTAACACAAGTTCAGGTCCAAATTTCCTCTTATAAAAAAATTTTTCTCCTCTTGTAAGGATACTAGTCCTACTGGATCAGGGCCCACCCTATCAACCTCATTAAAATATATATATATATATATATTTATTTGTTTTTTGCTGCACTACATCTTCACTGTTGCGCCCAGGCTTTCTTGATTGTGGCGAGCAGGGGCTACGCTTCCTTGGGGTGGCCGCTTTTCTGGCAGAGCACGGGCTCTAAGTGCCTAGGCTCAGTAGTTGCAGCACATGGGTTTAGCTGCTCCACATGTGGGAGCCTCTCGGACGGGGAATCAAACCTGTGTCTCCTGCATTGGCAGGTGGATTCTTCATCACTGGGCCACCAGTGAATCTCCAACCTCATTTCAGCTTAATCACTTTTAATCCCTATCTCCAAATACAATCACATCCTGAAGGTCCTGGGGGTTCGGACCTCAACAAAGGAATTGGGGCGGGGGGGGTGGGGAGGGAGGGACACAATTAGATCATAAACACCAGCCTTTTTGATCTTCCATAAACTGACAAGTTAGAAAATAGCATCTCATGATTTAACACTACCTGCTTTTTTGTCTCCCTGGAGTCCATCTGAGAGCGTTTCTTGTAAGAAGAAATCAATTCTTTTCGTGTAGTCTCCCCAGTTTATTTACTTGTTCTCATGTCAGCTTTCTGCCAGGGCTTCTCTTCCTTCCAGGCCTTTGCTAAGCTCTTCCTCCATCATTCCCCTCACTCAGCAATGTAGGCCCTCTGCACACTCTCCAGCCCCCCACCTACCCTGCCACAACATGCAGAAAGCTGCCTCCCAAACCACTTGAATCCTGTTTGTTAAAAGCGGCTCGCTCCTTTATTTGTTCAGAAGAGTGCCCCCTCGACGCCACACACGCCCACTGCAGTCAAACTGGGCAGGGGCATTCTGGGAACAGTGGCCGGCCATGGGACCCTCTGCTGCTGGGTCTGGGGAGGCGGTTTCGAGGCAGAAGCTCAGCGTCCAAGGTAGGGCCCACGGCTCAGGCACTGTGGTGAAGGGGCAGCCAAGCAGCAGGAACTCCGGAGAGCGCCTTGCACCTGGGGACCCTGAGGGGGTGAGCCGGGCCCACTGGCCCGGGACCAAACCCTGGGGCCACAGGAGTGTCTGCAAGAGGGCTAGGAGCCCGCCAGATGCTGGTGGAAGTACAGACCAAAGAGGCTGGAGAGCAGTTGGCAGGCGGCGATCCACCAGATGAGAAAGGCGAGGACTCCGCGGAGGAAGAGCGGCGTGAGCAGGCTGCCCAGGGCCCCAGCGATCAGGGCTGCAGTCTGCTGGGCCTCATCCTCCTCGGGGCCGACCAGGCCATCGTGGGCTGAAGACGGGGTGGGGGACAGCGTGGGGACCGGGCCCAGGCCCCAGGAGTAGCCGCCTGCAAGAAGAGGGTAGAGGGAGGGGCGGGTGGAGGTACAGGCGGTGTTGGCCTCCGGGACCCCAGACCCCGGCTGACAGTCACCCGCCCCGCCCCAGGCTCTACGCGCACCCCATCTTCAGGCCCCACTCGGGGCTTCGCCTCGCGCTCTCCAGCCTTCGCCAGCCAGGCTCTCCAGCCTCCGCCCCCACCGTCATGCCAGGCCTCGCTGTCACCTCGATCCATTCCGGGCCACCCCTCCCCTCACTCACCCCATTACAAGGGTCCCTCCCCGCCAGCGCTGGTACCCGCCGCTGGATCTCCCGGGCCTCGATGCGGCCGGCCTCCCGCCGCAGCTGCTCCACGCGGGCCTTGGCCAGGCACAGATAGGCCTGCAGGTGGGGCCGGGTCACCGCCAGCCGCAGCAGGCACAGTACCACCAGCACCCAGAGGCGCAGCGAGTCGAAGGCGGAGTCAGACAGCCTGTGCCGAGAGGGGCGACGGGTTTAGTGAAGCCGTCCTCGGTCCCAGGACCCTCCTGCAGGACCCAGGGCTCCCCCCTTAGCCTCAGAGTCCGGGGTACCCAGAGGGGGGCCCCAGCGGCCCGGCCTCCCAGCCCCACTGCCATACTCACAGCGAGAAGGACGTGCGCCCCAAGGGAGCCTGATGCAGGAAGTCCCGCGCCATGGGCTTGGTCCAGAGCCACAGCACGAACAGCGGGGACAGGAAACTGGTGTGCAGGAGGAACCTGGGGGCAAGGGCACAGTGCTGGGAGGGTGGGCACCCAGCATCCCCCTTGCACCCCCCTCCAGGCTCCCTATCCCGCACCCCTCACCCAGCCGGTCCCCCACGTAACTGCAGCATGGGCCGGTCTTCAGACATGGTCAGGGCATCATGGTGGGTCTGGGCCAGTCGCAGGCCTGGGAAGGTGAGGAAGGCACCCAGCAGGGAGCCCGCCACCGCCAGCCCCACGCGGATGGCCAGCTTGACCAGAGGAAGACTGGGGGAAAGAGAGGGGTCAGGGGGCTCCTGCGGTGGCTCCGCACCCTGCGTGCAGGTCCAGCCTGCCGCGGCTCTCCCTCCCTTCCCAGAACTCACGCCCAGTCCCAGCCTTGCATCTTCAGAAGTGGCTCCAAGTTCTGGGACATACTGTCCAGGCCTGGGGAAGACAAAAAGAGGACGGTGTCCAACAGACCCCCGGGCCCAGAGCCCACTCTGCCTTGCCCCCCAGGTGTCCATCTGCTCCCCTGGTGAGAACACACTAGTGACAGCCAGGCCCTGCCACAAGCACGAGGACAAGTTTGTTCTCCAGTCTGGTGCAGCTCCAGAGAATGTGCCAGGCAGACACTCTTGATTCGACCAGGGGACACAGGGGCAGAGGGCACTGGGCCTGGGCTTCCTGGATGCTAGCGGATCATGAAGGGCTCCACAGGAGAAAATCAGCATCCCGGAAAGAATTCTCAGTTCAGGCCCCCACATTTTCCACAGAGTAAAAGCGAATAAATATGAGCTCACAACCAAAATCACCAGACACATAAGGAAACAAAGCATCATCAAAGTGAATCAGCAGAAGAAAAAAAAAGATAAGCTTAAATTCCAAAGACTTTAGAAATTGGTATAAATTCTGTGTGAAGTGACTGAGGAATGTAAAAGCTGGAGACACAGAACTGGTGGCATGAGACTACCTCAGAGGACCAAGTGGATTTGCCAAGGAACCGATTAAGCTCTTCCAAAAGGAAAATATAATTACCGAAATGACAGGTTGTTAGCATACTAGAAACAGCCCAAGGAATAACTGATGAACTGGATCTGAAGAAATAATTCAGATTCCAACTCAGAAAGACAAGAAGGTGTGAAATATTAAGGGAGATTAAGAGACAAGGAGGACACAATAGAAAGTTCAATACAAGTGAAGTCAGAGCCCAGAGTGAGAGGAGAGAGAGGATGAAGGAGAAGAGATATTGGAAGAGAATGACTGAAGAGTCTGCAGAATGCATGATACATACAAAGTATATAAAACCAGATAAATACAAAGACATCCATACCTAGACACACTGTGGTGAAACTGCGGAATACCAAAAACAAAGAACTCACAGAGCAGTCAGAAGTTATGACAGATCACCTAAAAGGAAAGACAATTAATTTGGCAGTCACTCTCAACGCCAAAAATAGAAAAGAACAAATAGAACGTGAAAATGTAAGATGGTAGAAACACGGCCAAAAAGGTCAGAAATCACAATAAATGTAAGTGGATTAAACTTGAAGTTAAATGATACAGCCCGTCAGACTTGATTGTGTTTTAAAGTAGACATATCTCAACATGAGGTCACTGGAAGGTTGAAAGTAAAGTACTAGTCAAAAGAAAGGTAGTACTGTATATTTGAAAGTTGCTAAGTGAGTAGATCTTGAAATTCTCATCACAAGGAAAAAAAATGTGTATGTGGGGTGATGGTGTTCACTAGATTTACTGTGGTGATCATTTTGCAATATAAACAAATATTGAACCATGTTATACACCTGAAACTAATATAATGTTATATGTCAATTATATCTCAATTTAGAAAGAAAGGATGGAAGAAAGAAGCTGAAAAGACTATATTGACACAGACAAACTAGGCTAAGATGGAAGTAAGTCAGAAGGGGTCAATACATCATGAAAAAAAAATGGCTGATTTGCCAGGAAGATGTAGCATTTTTAAACCTGTAAACACCTTGGAACTAGCTTCAAAATATATAGAGAAAATACTGGCAGAACTACTAAGAGAAATTAAGACTTCCACCATCCCAGAAGTCTGGGGCTTCCCAGGTGGTGCTAGTAGTAAAGAACCCACCTGCCACTGCAGAAGACACGAGAGAGGAGGATTCGATCCCTGGGTTGGAAAGATCCCCTGGAGGAGGGCATGGCAACCCACTCCAGTATTCTTGCCCGGAGAATCCCATGGACAGAGGAGCCTGGAGAGCTATATAGTCCATAGGGTCACAGAGAGTCGGACACGACTGAAGTGACTTAGTACAGCACAGTGCCATCCCAGAGGGAGATTAACTCTTAGTAAAGATGGAAATTTGAATTTATTGGACACAGAGAGGAAGAAAATATATTTTAATCAAGAATACATGGAGCACTCTACAAGGTCAATTAATCTACAACAAAGGAGGCAATATACAATGGGAAAGGACAGCCTCTTCAATAAATGATGCTGGGAAAACTGGACAGCTACATGCAAAAAAACCAAACTGGGTTACTTTCTCACATCATATATAAAAATAAACTCAAAATGGATTAAAGACTTAAATGTAAGACATGAGACCAAAAAAATCCTAGAAGAAAACATAGGTGGTACACGTTTTGACATTGGTCTTAGCAATATTTTTGAACATGTATCTCAGTCAAGGCAAACAAAAGCAAAAATAAGCAAATGAGGCTATATTAAACTAAAAAGATTTTGCATCATGAAAGAAACTATCAACAAGACAAAAAGGCAGCCTACTGAATGGGAGTAGTAGATTCATGAGTGTTTGCATTATTTGGCTTTGTAATTTATATATATGTTCTCATATATATATACACTCATCATATAATTTTAAAATTGAAAGGTAGGAAGTATTGGTGATAACAAAGCTCAAGGAGTCAGCAGGGTCATGTGGGCCATGGTGAGGATTTTTATCTTTATCCAAAGACCATTAGAGTTTGGTGTTGGGCAGAAGAGTGATCCAAATTATGTTTTTAAAAGATCATTCAAGAAGAAGAAAAAAATCAAAACAAAAATGAGAAACTGAAAAAAAATTTACAACTCCTATCACACATAAAGGCTGACTTCCTTAATATATAAAGAGCTCCTACAAATCAATAAAATGGTCAACAACCCAGTAAAAAACTGGGCAAAAGAACAAATCTTTCCCAGAAGGGAACTAGAAATGGCTCTTCAACACATGGAAAGGTGCTCATCCTCACTTACATTTTCACCCATCAGATCACCTGAGACAAAAAAGTCTGAGGATGTGGGGATATGTACATTCATACATCTCTTTCTGATGGGCAATTTTCCAACAACATTATTAAAATTACAAATGCACTTTCTTGCACAGGGTCACAGGCACAAAGTTGTTATTGTGCAACACTGCTGTACAATTGCATGGCTTTGTGCAACAGCATTTAACAGGAGAAAGAAAGACTTAAATGTCCATAAACTGAGACCTAGTTAAATAATCACAGACAATTCATAAAGTTACAAAATGCAGTATCAAATTACTGTTACTGTGTTACTGTAACATTCTATTACTGTATGTAGCATCTAGGGACAACGTTCAATACTTATTATTTTTTTTTTATTTAAAGTACAGCTAATTAACAATGTTGTCCTAATTTCAGGTATACAGCAAAGTGAGTCAGATGTATATACAGATATATATACGAAAATCTATTCTTCTTCAGATTCTCTTCCTTTATAGACTATTACAAGATACTATATATAGTTTCTTGTGCTACACAGCAAGTCCTTGTTGCTTATCTGCTTTATATACAATAGGGTGTATATGTTAATCCCAAATTCCTAACCTATCTCCCCGTCCCCATCCCTTTTGGTCACTATAAGTTTGTTTCCTATGCCTGTAAGTTGTGTTTATTTTTGTAAATAATTTCATTTATATTATCTTTTAAGATTCCACATGTAAGTAGTATCATATGCTATCAGTTTTTCTCTGACTTACAGCACTTAATATGACGATAATATTGTTTTTAAGAGAAAAACACAAGGTGTAGAGCCAGATACACTGTTTTATGTGAATACGGCAATGTGGTACCCTAGGTTTCCCCTGGGGAGGAGAACTAGTGTGAAAGGATGATTTTATTCTATATCCTCTTGTACTTTATGACTATCACTCTATATATCTATTTCCTCTCCCAAGTTAAATTAGAGTAGGTAAATAGTAAATCACCATGGCTGCTGGGCAGAGGACAGCCTGACGGGAGCAGGAGTGCCCATGCAAAGTCACAGGCACAGGCCCCCATCAGTGGGAGGAGGTGTCCTCTCTCCTCAGAGCCCAAGGGGGCATGCAGGGTGGCATGCACCCACAGAGACTGCTCCGGCCACAGGGCTCCCTTCTTCACCTACTGTGAGCAGGTGCAAAAGGCACTTAGCCCACCCTCACCCGCTCACACAAGGCGGCGATGGACGTGGCGCTCCCAGGCCCGGTCTGCACGTACCTGGCTCCAGGCCCAGCTCCAGCGTCTCCTCCCGAACCGCCTGCACCAGCATGGCCAGGAGCAGGAAGAGGAAGGCAAAGGCGAGGCAGACAGAGCGCTCGCCTCCCTCCTCCGAACTGAAGTACAGCCGGGTCACGGTCAGGAACACCTTGCTGGGGGCGCGGCTAAGGAGCCTGCGGTGCCTGGAGTGAACCCCCCAGCTCCAGACCGCAAGCATGGAAGCTCAAGTTCAGAGCCCTGGAGAGCAGGGGCGCAATAAAGGAGACAGACACTGGGGGGCCCAGGACACAGGGCTCGCCACTGCTCAGGCCCGGCTTCCGGGAGAGAAAGTGAGCCTGGGCCAGGCCTCCAGCTTGGCCTCATCACACTGCCTATGGTCGGTTAGAAATGGCCACCACGGGCTTCCCCGGTGGTCCGGTGGCTAAGAATCCACCCGCCAGTGCAGGAGGCATGGAATCTGGTCCAGGAAGATCCCACGTGCAATGCTGCACAACTGCTGAGCCCACAGGTAGAGCCTGAGAGCCACAGGACTGGCGCCCGTGTGCCTAGAGGCCGCGCTCCACCACGGGAGGAGGCCCTGCAGTGAGAAGCCCGGGCATCACAGCCAAGTGCTTCCCTGGGAGCGTGGTGGTTACGACTCTGCCTATCAGTGCTGAGCACAGGGCTTCGATCTTGGCCCAGGAAGATCCCACAAGGCCTAAGACAATTTAGCCTGTGTACCGCAACTGCTGAAGCCCTCACGCCCTAGAGCCTGTGATCCACAGCAAGAGAACCTGCCGCTCACTCATCTGGAGAGAAAAGCCCGCCTGCAACAACAAAGACCCAGCGAAGCCAAATAAATCCTACCAACCAAGGGATAAAAACAGTTTTAAAAAGAAAAAAAATCACTGGCCACCAAGTCTCTTCAGGTCAAGTCTCCCTTACCCACACCGCCTCCCGGCTACATTCACAGGTCCTGTTTCCTACTCCTCTGAGAGGCTGCCAGAGATACAGCTTCTATCTCTAACCTCTCCTGAGAGAGACCCTCCAGGGCTTTCCAGAACCAGTGGTGTGGGTTTCAAGATGGGCTGCCTTTCTTTGCAATCCTATTCCACAAGGGCACCGCCTCCAACTTGGGTCCTCAAAGTCACAGTTTCGCCTCTGTTCTCTACGCAGCTCAGTAAAGACAATTACAGAGGGGTGTCTATGCTGGCCTATTGAGTTGCTTTGACACAGGGAATGGACAGGGATGGGGTGGACCAACTTCAGGCCAAGCCTTAGGGGACCTGCAGCACCCCCTCTTCCTTCCTGGCCGCTCTGGGTGAGGAAGCCTGCTCTAACCTGGAGCAGAGATGAAGTAACACAGCTGAAACCCGGCCAGGAAAATAAAACAGCGATTGGACAGGTTTACCGCACAGCAGTCGGTAACTGATGTGCCAGTTTAGTGGGGAGAAGGAGCCTCAGATCCAGCTTTCAGGGGCCTCCACCTCCCCCACCCGGAGGAAGGATACATAGAGAAAGCGACGGTGAGCAGACACCAGAATACTGCGATGTTGGTCTCCTTGGCTGGGCCCAGCACATAGTAGTAGGCCTCCGTGAAGAGGTACACGCCCCCGGAATACACGGCGAAGTCCACAAACCACTGGTACTCCAGGAAGAAGCGCAGGACTGCGGAGAGCACGCCACTGAGCCCCCAGCTTGGCCCGCCCAGGACAGGATGCTCCCCACCACGTCCAGCAGGGTGTGCGGGGGGTTGGGGACCCAGCTGTTACCAAGCGCATCGACAGCTGTGAGCGGACAGGTCTCCAGCTGGAACGGGGTGTCTCGGGGCACAGATAACGGCTTCTCCTCACTACCGCCGTTGGCCCACCTGGGAGCAGGGGAGATGAGCGGAAATGGCATCGGCAGCCTCCGTCTTCCCCTGCCCAGGCAGCCGTGGCGGCCTCTTCCTCCCCAGCTTGGTGCTCTGTCACCCTCAGAGCAGAGGAGGAGCTGGTCTCGAGGGTACCTTCACCCCAGCCTGGGTGTCCTCTGAATGCCAGGGGGTGGCCACCACCCACCCACAGGGCTGGCCCCGAGCAAACTTCCAATGAGCGTGGGGTGCCAACGGGAGACACACAGCCTGGGGTGTTCCCAGTTCTCCTGGGGTGTCTCCAACTAGCCTGTGCCCACAGCAGTGCCTGGAGGTGTGCAGGGCAGGCGCTGTGCCCTCAGGGTCTCCCCTGGAAGGGAGCCACTGACCGCAGGCTGGGGGTTCACTCACCGCTCCTTCCTGCCTCTGGGCTTCTGCTTCCCTGCCAGGGCCCGCAGCTCGTCCTCCGAAGGGTGCTTGTATCTGAAGAGACTGAAGGCAGACAGGCCGTCAGGAAAGCCTGGGCATGGGGCGACCAAAGTGGTGAACCTCAAAGGCTGAGACTGCAGAGCGAAGACTGGCCCTGATAAGCCTGGGGCAGGACGGGCAGGGGTCATCGAAGGTCAGAGGAAGGCGGGGGAGGTGGGCTGAGGGTCGACAGGGGGGTGCAGCAGGACTCCTAGACACCCTAGAATCTTCTGGCTAACTCTCCTGGCGGAGCTGGCATGTGAACTGTCCTGGAAAGAGAGTTTCGCAATTGTCACTGGGTTTTCAAAAAGGGTCCAAGACCCAAACCCTGACAAAGAATTTTAGGAAATAAGATCTATAGGTAGAAAGGGGAGCAAGGGTCGCGGAGCAGCTGCTCCTTTGAGTGTGGAGATGGTCTCAGCGATGCGTACAATCTGTCAAAACGGATCCAACTGTGTGCTTCAAACATCTGCGATTATTGGGTCGACTATCTCAATAAAGTTCTTAAAACCCTCGCCTCGTAGGGCGTGAGGCGGGGCTGGGGAAACAAGGGGCGGGGCCTTTGGGGCCCCGCCCACCGCCGGGAAGGGGCGTGGCTCACCTGCCGTTGCAGAGCAGCCAGCGCGCGAAGGAGCAGTGCGGCGCCAGCCGGTGCATCAGGGTGGCGGTGAGCAGTGTCACCACCAGCTGCACTCCAAGGACCGCCTGCGGGGAGGAGACGGGAAAGGCAGCGCCTGCCAGAGGGTCACAAGCTCACCTTCGAAAACCCGGCTATTTATAGAGAGACGCAGAAGCCAGGTGGGGGAGGGCGGCCCTCCTGGCTCCGGCGGCTTCTTGGGGAAGGGTCCGAGGGTGGGCTCAGACCCAACCCTGGGGGCCCCAGCAAGGCGCGGGCCCCGCCCCATCCCCTGGCAGGGGTGTGCGGTGGCGGAGAGCACGTGCTGGAGCAGAGATCGGGGCTCAGTTTCCTCCTGTGCTAAGGATTTAAGGTAACAATCTCCCTGAGCCTGTTTCCTCATCTGGAAACGGGGTGCTTCCCATTTTGTCTCCTCTACTCTCACGACCACCTCCGGGACCTACAGCGAGCCGGGCACACCCAGTGAAAGCTACTCTCCCAGGGTATCCTCCCCCACCCCCCCAACGCATCATGTCTCAGGTGGACTTGCAGCTCCTCTGTTCACCCAGCTGACTCTGTCCCCCACGTCTTTCTCCATCCGAAATTACCCCTGAAAATTGAAATCGTCCTTTCTCCCTCTCCCTTCCTTTGTAACTAACCAAGGGGAAAAGAGGCCTGGTCTATTTCTGGCCACTACCTGTTTCGGGATTAACACTTACACATTTGAGTGGGATGAATTTTTTTAATTAGGAATTTTCTCACCAAGTGCTACTAACATTTTAAGCATATTTCCATATATGTTTATGGAACATAAGCAAGCATAACAAACTTCCATATACTTATTTTAAAATGTTTTAGAAAAAAATTGTTTCTGGTAATCAGTCTGAAGATGGGTTTTCCTGCGTGAATGTAGTAAATAACCATTTGCTATCAGTGCTAAGTCGCTTCAGTCGTGTTTGAATTTTTGTGACCCTGTGGACTGTAGCCCACCAGGCTCCTCTGTCCATGGGATTTCCCAGCCAAGAATACTGGAGTGGATTGCCATTTCCTCCGCCAGGGGATCTTCCCAACCCAGGGATTGAACTCACATCTTTTATGTCTCCAGAATTGCCAGGTGGGTTCTATAACAGTAGCACCACCTGGGAAGCCGACTTGCTATCAGTAATTATGTAAAATAAAGTGCTCAGGAAGGCTGTCAGCTACCATTATGGTATTAACCATTAAATAAAATAAAGATTATGTTAATGTTAAAACTAATTATTAAAATTATCCTTTAATCAGGCAAAAATAAGCTAACTTCAATAGGAAAAGCTCTAATGTGATGGCTATCCAGCTTAGCCCTTAATTCAGAATGACTGTTGAGAAATTCATCTTTAAAATAAAAGGACTAATAGGGTATTTTCTCTATGTTGTCACTTGTAAACTGAGACCAGGAACATTTTTTCAGTAAGGAGGTGGGGCATCATCTTTCTGCTCTCACTGCTCACCCTTACCCCTACCCAAGTGCAGACTGGTTAGCAGGCGTTAATAGACCAAGAGCACAGTTGGCCAGCTCGGAGCCCAGTGGGCGGGCTCTCAAACGGCCCCGCCCTTCCCCATGGACACCGCCCCCCCTCCCCTCCTCCCTAGGAAATCCAGCACCTCCCAGCAGCTGCTCTCCAGTCTCCCTAGCTCTCCATACACCTCTCCCTTGTGACCCATCCCCTGGCAGGGTTTTAACCACCGACACAGCCCAGCACGACTCCAGCCCACCGGCACCTCCAGCCAAGATCTCTCTGCTGACCTCGCTGACCATGCCTCCTCCAGGCCCTTCCCTGGAGACCCCAGCACCCACCCATCCCTCCCACGGACACGGCTCCTCCAGGCGGCCCAGGACCTTCCTAGTCTAACAAATGAACGTTCAGCTACATTCCTCAGCCCGCAAGGCCCGGCAGACCCCGCTCAGGACCAACCCGCCTCACTGCCCAGCTCTCTCCCCCAGTGCCCTCTGCGCCCAACCAGTCGGGTCTCAGAGACACTCCCAGACCCCAGGCCTCTCCATCGCTAACCCCATTACCCTGGACACCTCTCATGGAGGAGACCCATGGTTCAAACTGTGATCCCAGCACCTAGGAGAGGAAGGACGGGAGAGAGGAAGGAGAGGAAGAGAAGAAGAGAGAAAGAGAGGGAGGAAGGATGGGATGGAAGGAAGGATGTACAAGGAAAAGAGATGGAAGGCATGCATCCCCCCACCTAAGGCTCCCAAGGTCCGTCCAAGGATGTTTCTCATGGTCATCCCCCCACAGCTCTGGCCTTAGGGTCCACATTCTGCAGATCTCCAAAGATCTCTGGAGCCTCCTATCACCCCATGTCCCTCCTCTGTTCAAACCCCTTCCCTAGATCAGTGATCCCAGAATCCTGCTGCTGCTGCTGCTGCTAAGTCTCTTCAGTTGTGTCTGACTCTGTGCGACCCCAAAGACAGCAGCCCACCAGGCTCCCCCATCCCTGGGATTCTCCAGGCAAGAACACTGGAGTGGGTTGCCATTTCCTTCTCCAATGCATGAAAATGAAAAGTGAAAGTGAAATCGCTCAGTCGTGTCCGACTCTTAGCGACCCCATGGACTGCAGCCCACCAGACTCCTCTGTCCATGGGATTTTTCAGGCAAGAGTACTGGAGTGGGGTGCCATTGCCTTCTCCGAGAATCCTGCTAAGTAACATCAAATCAATGTGGCGGGCTTCCCTGCTGGCTCAGAGGTAAAGAATCCACCTGTCAATGAGGGAAACACAAGTTCGATTCCTGGGCTGGGAAGATCCCCTGGAGAAGGAAATAGCAACCCACTCCAGTATTCTTGCCTGGGAAATCCCAAGGACAGAGGAGCCTTGCAGGCTACAGTCCATGGGGTCACAAAAGAGTCAGACACGACTTAGACTCAACATCAGTGGGACTTTCCTGCATCCCATCTCAGACAGCCCTTCCCCTCACCTCCTACAACGTCCCAAATCCTGGAATGACCTCCTCTCTCACCAACCCTTTCATCAGTGCTCTTACTTCAGACCCACCTCCAACACCCCGCCTCAGGGACGCCCCTACTGCAGGCAAGGTCAGGCCCCTTCCCCAGCCCCCCAAGTCTGCCGCGGCCTCTGCCCAGTCCTAGGGACTGGGGTGGGGAGTGGGGCCTCCGCCCCCACCCAACAGCAGCCTTGCCCACCGAGGCCAGGACAAGCTTGAAGGATAAACGGAATGGGTTGGACCCAGAACCACGTGAGACCTGAGGGTTCCAACAGTTCTCTCTCCAATTCTGGGACCCTCGCCTGCCCGGAGCCCACCCTGAGCCCTTGACCCCCTCCTCTCAGGATTCTCCCTGGTCCTTCAGCACACCCCACACCCCGAGGGAGCCCAGATGGGCCCTGTCGGTGCGGTCCCCACGCTCCCGCAGGACGCCGTGCCCAGAGTGGGCCCCAGTCGGACCCCAGATCTCCCTCGCGGGGCGCCGAAGGTGTTCAGATCCCCAGCACCCTCCAAGGGACGGCCCCTCAGCAGGACCCCAGGCCCCTAGAAGGCACCCCAGGGACTTGTCAGAAGCCCAGAACGCTCAAGGCCTTCCAGTCCCCTTGCACAGCCCCGACCCCCTCATCGATCGCGGAGCGAGACCTAACCCCAGAGAGGGAAACACAGGCCTCAGCGCGACCCCGAGTCCCTCAGAGCCCTCAGGCCCACAGAGGGAGCTGTGTCTCCTCGGTGTTCCCCTGGACTGCCCCACGGCGGAACCCGTAGCTTCTCAGTGGACCCCATGCTAAGAGTTGCGGGCTCACCATGTTGCGGACCGGAGGGCGGCGCGGAGACCCATGGGTCTGGAGCTCAGAGCACACCGCGGAACTCGACCGATCAGAATCCGATTTTGGCCTGACAAGCAGCCCATCCAACCAATCGTCAGGATTGGAGTCGGGGCGAATCGCGAGGACCAGGAGTCACTCGCGTTGCATGGCGGAAGTTGTAGTTTAAAGATGCTTGACGCGCTCTGATCGGGGGCTCTGGAACCCCAGGGAGAGCACTGTTTCTGAGAACCAGTCTCCTCACCTGCACCTATTTCGCAGGTTTAAAGCGAATATGCTTATTCATCAAATCACTGTCTCCCGCTAGAGAGTTCGGAGCGTGGAACTCCAATGATGAAGAACGTTCGGTGACCCCCACTGACTGCTCAGACTGAATTCAGAGCCTTCTGCCTGACTTCAGTCTGCTGCCAACACTATTGTACTCAAAAAAGTACAACTAGCCACCAGCCTTGCTTTCTTGTATCTTCCTTTATTTCATCTGGCAAAAGCCTTCTTCATCTCTAGTTGCAACTGGCGGCGGGGGGTGGGCTCCAGCAATAAAGGAAAAAAAACTGGCTAATGTGAAAACTCCAAGAGCATTGTCAGCTTCAGGCATGCCTAGATCAAGAACTAAATGTCAGCCTCAGGAATCTAATGTTTTCCGCTGTTTCAAGGCTTAGAGGAAAGAGCTTCAAGCCCAAGTTTTGCAGCTGTATTTCTATGGATAAGTATGTCTGTCTGAACGTGGACATATTCTGTGGGTGGGACTGTCTGAGGGTCTTTGTGGGGCCTGTGTATAGTTGATTGTATATGTATATGCTGCAGCTAAGTCACTTCAGTCGTGTCCGACTCTGTGTGACCCCATACACGGCAGCCCACCAGGCTCCCCCGTCCCTGGGATTCTCCAGGCAAGAACACTGGAGTGGGTTGCCATTTCCTTCTCCAATGCATGAAAGTGAAAAGTGAAAGTGAAGTCGCTCAGTGGTGTCCAATTCTTAGCGACCCCATGGACTGCAGCCTACCAGCCTCCTCCATCCATGGGATTTTCCAGGCAAGAGTACTGGAGTGGGGTGCCATTGCCTTCTCTGATATATGTATATACATATGTATATATCCTATATATGTATATTTGTATATAACTATACAAACATGTATAGTTGATTGCCTTGTCTCTGTGAATGTTTTTGTCTTTGTATATGAGTATATGTGGATGTCTGTCTGCAGGAGATTCACTCTGTGACTTTGATCCTCTGGACCCAATGTGTTGGCTTGAGAGAGGGTGGGTGACCGAGGCAGTGAGGATCACTCGGATTTCACAGGACCTACATGGGGGTCATGAGACACCCCTCAGGGCTACGGCATCCAGGAGGGATCCAGGGAAGCTGGAGTTCGGGGAGGGTGTCAGAAAAGGTGGACCAAGAGAAAAGGGGGACTTTTGCAGCAGGTCCGTTGCTCACTAGGCTGGAGGGCTGACTCGACTGCTTTCTACAGCAGATCAGGGTGCTGAGACAATTATCTCCATTAAATTGATAAACATACTGAGACTCTGAAAGGCCCCAATCTCTAATCCACACCCTGACTTCCCCCGGGGCCATAGGGTTTATGCGTCTAGGCATCACAGCGCCCTCATGTGGTGAACTGCAGGCAGCTCGCACACATCCTGGCCCCTGGAGTTCTGATCTTCCCTCTGCAGCCTCTCGCGGTTGCAGAAAGGCAGCTACATCTTCCAGGTGCTTATTCCCAAATTCTGAAGTTGGCCTTAAACTCTTTCTCTTGCTCCATACCTGACCTGTTAGTCCCTCCTGATGGCGTCACCTTCCAACTCTAACCATTGTCCCACCCAGCCTCCCTCCCTCCCTTCACAGCCTCCACCCAGTCCAGCATCATCTCCCACCTGCAATCCCCTCCTCCCTGGTCTCCGGTAGCTTCCATTCCCCTTTCCCCACCCACTCCCACAGTCTGTTTTCCCCAAGCATCTTAAAAGCACCTGTTAACACTTAACCTGACCGTATTCCTTCTCTGCTCACAACCATCCATTGCTCCCACCTCACGCAGAACAAATGCCAGTCTGCTCTTGGCCCATGTATTCCACCCTTCACTGTTCGCTCAACATGTCAGTTCTTTAAAAAAAATAAGAATAATAATTATATTTATATTCTTGGCTGTGCCGGGTCTTCATTGCCATGCAGGCTTGTCTCTCGTTTCGGCAGGCGGGGGCTCCTCTCTAGTTGCAGTGCGCAGCCTCCCCATTGTGGCGGCTCCTCTTGTTGCAGAGCAGTCTCTGGGGTGTGCAGGCTTCAGTAGCCGCAGCTCCCGGGCTCTAGAGGACAGGCTCCATAGCTGCTCCACAGCATGTGGGATCTTCCCAGATCAGGGAACGAACCCTTGTCTACTGCATTGGCAGGCAGATTCTTTATCACTGAGCCACCAGGGAAGCCCCAGTTCCTTTTATATATATATATATATATATATACTTATTTGGCTGTGTCTAGTCTTAGTTGCAGCATGTGGACTATTTAGTTGCAGCCTGCAGGGTCTAGTTCCCTGCCCAGAGATCAGACCCAGGCCCCCTGCACTAGGAGTGTGGAGTCTCAGCCACTGACCACCAGGGGAATGCCAACATTTCAGTTATGCAGCAGGAAGCATTCCTCATTTCCTGTCCTACACTGCATGTATTGTGTTGTCTGTTCTACACTGGACGTTCCTCTATTCTACTTTCTCTACTCTGCATTGGATGTTCACATTGCCCATTTTCCACTGGACGTTCTTCATTGTCCATTCTACACTGAGTGATTCCACGTTCTCTGTCCTACACCGGCTATTCCATTTTCCCTAATCCTCACATAGTCCCTGTGTCTAACATCCCACAATTTCTGACCACACTGAGGTCCATGCTCTCATTCCACACTGTTTCACTGTCTCTATTTATAGTGCTCTCAGAAATGCATCTTTCATATCTCTGACTTTCATGATTGTGTTTTTATCCAAGTCAGACTTCCCACGGTGCTTCCAACCAGTGACCAAGCTCCTGGGCGACTTGGACCCCCTCTAATGATGACAATGGCCCTTGCCAGCATCACCATGGTGTTCCTAGAAAGACTGGTGGTAGGACACTCCCATACAACCTTCCTTGCTTCCACTGTCACAGAGCCAGCAGGGGCAGAGCGAGCATTGGGCCCAGGGGCGTTTCCAGAACCTGGCAGCACGCCCACAAGTACACCTTAATGAACTTGTATAGTCACACACACATGATATGTGACATAGCCCTTTTTCATTCCCCAGGCTCAGACGAAGAATATGGGGCAGACTCCCTGGAAGCCAAGATAGATTTTATGTATTATTGTGCGTGCTAAGTCACCTCAGTTCTTGTTCAACTCTTTGCGACCCCATGGACTGTGGCCCACCAGGCTCCTCCATCCATGGGATTCTGCAGGCAGGAATACTGGAGTGGGCTGCCACGCCCTCCTCCAGGGGATCTTCCCACCCCAGAGATCGAAACCGTGTCTCTTACGTCTCCTGCACTGGCAGGTGGGTTCTTCACCACTAGCACCAGCTGGGAAGCCCCATGTACTATTATTTCACTTTATTTTGAAACTTTACGCGAGGACTTCAGAATCCAAAGGGCACTGTTGGGCGCCACCTAAAGGCAGATGGTGAAAGTGCAACCTCCCAGGCTTGAACAGAGCCACGCCCATTGGGCCTGGAGGCCCCCAGCGTTATGGGGCAGACTCCCTGGAAGCCAAGATAGATTTTATGTATTATTGTGCGTGCTAAGTCACCTCAGTTCTTGTTCAACTCTTTGCGACCCCATGGACTGTGGCCCACCAGGCTCCTCCATCCATGGGATTCTGCAGGCAGGAATACTGGAGTGGGCTGCCACGCCCTCCTCCAGGGGATCTTCCCACCCCAGAGATCGAAACCGTGTCTCTTACGTCTCCTGCACTGGCAGGTGGGTTCTTCACCACTAGCACCAGCTGGGAAGCCCCATGTACTATTATTTCACTTTATTTTGAAACTTTACGCGAGGACTTCAGAATCCAAAGGGCACTGTTGGGCGCCACCTAAAGGCAGATGGTGAAAGTGCAACCTCCCAGGCTTGAACAGAGCCACGCCCATTGGGCCTGGAGGCCCCCAGCATTTGAGAGCAGCCCACGTTTTTATGAATTCCACACTGGGCGCTGACTTCAGGGCCCGGCCCACCTTCTTATCCACCATGTGGGTAAGATCCAGATGTTGAAAAGGGGCCCTCTCTGGCCATACCTCAGTTTCCCCCAGAGGACTGGCTGCCTTGGCCTCTCTTCCTCCTAAGTCCCTGGCCCAGTGTCTGGTTGTATGGGGAGCTGTGACTTCGACACTGTGGCCGGAAGGCGCCCCAGGGTGGGGAGGGGATGATTCTAGTTTGGCAGTTCATGAACCTCATGTGCCTGGCCAGGGTCCTTGAGACCTGAGGAAGGGGGTCCCCAGAAGGGTACCCCAGATGGAGAAATTTGCACTCGCATAGAGACCGTGGTGCATGTGGCCACGGTGCCGCTGGGCCTGGCAGGGGCTGTGTGCTCAGCCGGATCCCCAGAGGGCGCTGTCATGGGCTGGGGTGCAGACAGCGGCACACCCCTTCTCTGCGGGTAGGAAGGGACAGAAGGAAGCAGGTGGATTTAGGACCTGAGTCTGAGTTGGGTGAGAGAGCTCTCCAGCTGAACTTAAACACGCCACAGAGGCCTTGAGTGCACCCCACAGCCTCTGCATTCTCTGCGGGTTTCCCTGTGTGAGAGGGAACTCCGTGGATGAATTGAGTGTGAAGCCCTTCACCTCAGATCCGGGCCATCCACAGGCCCCAGTGGCTGTGCCCCAAACACAGCCTGGAGTGGCCCTCCTCTTCCCCCTCGGTCTCCTGCCTCTTTTGCTCCCCGACCCCGCCTCCCCTCCCGCCCACAGGAGCCCCAGGGAGGGAGGCTTTCACAGACTTTGATCTTATCATGTCTCTCCCCTGGAAACTGGTACTCCAATGCCCCAACTTCACTGGGGATGAAGGTGATGAGGACTGGGAAGATCAGAGGACAAATCCCAGGCTGGATCTGGACATGAATGGTGATATACATGTGGCTGTTCAAGCAAGAGCTGTCATTTCACAAGGAGAGTCTGTCAGTTTATACTTTTTCCCTCTCTTCCTACCCCTTAAAAGGTTTTGAAGCCCGCACACATGTTGCCTCTGTATGCACATCCAGGTCTGTGTGCGCTGGCGGTGCAATGCAAGACTGAATTTTACTGAGAAAGGTCCACTGTGGAATGCTGGGGTGACAGGGTTAGGGTCTTTGTGTGTGTGTGTGTGTGTGTGTGTGCCAGTCTTAGCTGCAGCATGTGAGATCTAGTTCCCTGACCAGGGATCTAACCACTGGACCACCAAGGAAGTCCCAGAACAAGGGTCTTGTAATTATTGGTCAAGTTGACTCACTTGTCCCCGGCCAAGCTAGACCAATCAGCTTTGGACCTTGCTAGAATGATGGTGGGATGAAAAGTCGTGAAAATATTAGTCGCTCAGTCATGTCCAACTCTTTGTGACCCTGTGGACTGCAGCCCATCAGGATCCTCTGTCCATAGAATTCTCCAGACAAGAATACTGGAGTGGGTAGCCATTCCCTTCTCCAGGGGATCTTCTTAACCCAGGAATCGAATCCGAGTCTCCTGCATTGCTAGCAGATTCTTTACCATCTGAGCCACAATATGGGATAGGGGCACACAAATCTTACAAATGCTAATACCAACACTGTATGTTTTTCACATTTTTTTTTTTTGTCTGAATCAGTGATCTCTACTAAGCAAACCCTTTGAGAATTGTCAGAGCCATTTCTCAGCTTGGGGCAATGCAGAGGATTTCTTGGAGGAGGGAACATGGAGCTGAGCCTTGAAGGGTAGGAAGCAGCCTAAAAAGGAAGTCAGATGGGGGTTGCAGGAGGTGGCCCAAGAGGACAGATCAGCATGGCCTTAGACTGAATCAGTGATCTCTACTAAGCAAACCCTTTGAGAATTGTCAGAGCCATTTCTCAGCTTGGGGCAGTGCAGAGGATTTCTTGGAGGAGGGAACATGGAGCTGAGCCTTGAAGGGTAGGAAGCAGTCTAAAAAGGAAGTCAGATGGGGGTTGCAGGAGGTGGCCCAAGAAGACAGATCAGCATGGCCTTAGCGTGGAACAAGTATTCTAGAGAGCTCAGGAGAGGGGACAGAGCAGGTGGAGGCAGCTGAGGAGCTCCGGAAGGTCAGGGGTCAGGTCTGACCTTATAAAGATTCCACTGAGACCTCCTGGGGAGCAGCTGAAGGGGAGGAACAGATGAAGCTCCCTCTGGCTTCCCCCTGAACCCCCAAGTCTGCCCTCACACAGGACAGGCCAAAGTGGAAGGAGTTTGGCCACATCCCAAAGTGGGTGGATAAATGCCTGGCCCCTCCTCCATCCGCTGTAACGAAACTGTTGAGTCAAGAGATCCAGAGCTACGCCGATTTAAACACGGACAGTGTAGCGGCCACTCCAGCGGGCCCATAACCCAGCATTCAGTCACGGATCCCGACTGCTCCTTGCTGCAAGGAACTGTGACCTAGCCTGAGCCCTCGACCCAACACTCCCAGGAGATGGAGGGTAAATAGCCCAGCCCACTGCGCCTGGAGTGGAATCACTCTAAATGCGTACTCCACGCAGGCACCTAGGGCCCCCAATGGGCTGTGCACCCACTGCCAGGGGTCACCTGCTCGTTGGCGCCCCTACAGGGCTTCTCCCCTTACTACACCCCTTTCCAAGCCTCACGGGAGGCCTCTTCTCAGCGTCCGATTCCTTCCGGAGTAGGTGCCCAAACCTAGACAAGGCAAGACTGAGGCCGCTGGAGAAGAGATGGGAGGAGCCGGGCGGGGGCGTGGCTCTGAGCAGCGACAGTTTTGCCCACGGATACCACGTGTGTTTTATTGATGGACACACACACACAGGAAAGGGGAAAGAACCCCCAACCGTGGACCCGAACCCGGCCTCCCCACTCCACGCCCCCATCGCAGAGACAGTGGTAACTGCTGCGTCTTCTCCAAGGACGCAGGGAGGGAGGTTGGGACCCCACGTGCCCTCGCCTGGCCGGACGTGGGGGTCAGAACCGGGGCCACTCCCGGGCCTACTACCGGGGCCAGCCGTCGGCAGTGGGGAGCCGGCGCAGAGGGGGTCCAGGTCGCAGGGGCTCTGCCAGGGGCCGGATTGGGGCACTTACCTAGGCTGCGTGGGGGTTGCCGGGGGCCCATCAGCCCTGGAGGGCTGCCAGGGGGCCAGGGTGGGGGGCTGCAGCAAGCCTGGGGGTGGAGGCGGATCCCCCAGGCCATATTCTGCGGGGGCAAGAAGAGGAGATTGAAGCCCTGACCGCAGGGAGCCCCTCCCGAAGCCTGACCTGCCCTCCCCGCCAGTTTTCAGTTCCGGTGGGCGGGGGAGTGTGGAAACAGCCCCCCCCCCACACACACACACACAAAGCCAGTGCAAATGCATACCTGGGGGGCCTGCAGGGAGGAAGGGGAAGCTCCCGAGCGGGGGTCCGGGGGCGGCGGCGGAGCAGGGACTCTGCAGGCCACCGTAGAGGCCTCTCTGCGGGGAGACAGGGTAAAGGGGAGCCCGAGATCCACAGCCAGGCCGCCCTGCCCCCGCAGCCCTTCCACCCCTCCCCCTCACTCACCGAGCTGCTCAGTCCCCCTCGGGTCCCCGCCAGGCCGCCAGGCAGGTCTGGCCTCCGCCCGTCTGCTGCCAGGTACAGGGGGGGTGGTGTCTTGCTGGCGAGATGGCTCGGCGAGAAGAGAGGGTGCGCCAGGCCTGGGGAGCAGGGGACCCCCAGAGGAGGCAGGCGGCCACGTCATCTGATGAAGTCTGAGGTCCAGAGTGACGCCCACAGCCGAGCACAGCCCCCCGCAAAACCTCCACTGCCCCCACCCCGGGCCTGTGCCCCGTGCTCACCTGGGGGTCCAGCTTTGGGGGCTGCTGGCCGGAAAGGGGATGGGCGGCTCTGGGCAGGCAGGGCCTCCCCAAGTCCAGTGGGTTCGCAGGCCGGTGGGGGCAGCGCCCCATATACTATATCCGGGCTGGGCATAGTGGGGGCTGCGGGCTGCGGGCAGAGAGACAGGATTGGTTGGGGAACACAGAGATGAGGGCATCAATTCAACCTAGAAAATCCCAGTGAGTTGAAGGGCCAGCTTCCTCTTCTGGAAGCCCTCATTCCTCCTCCCTCTGGCCTAACACCACGTGGTTGGGGAGCCTGTGACTCCTTGGCAGCTAGGCCCAGAGCTGAAACTTCTTACTGAGCAAAGGATGGGTCCCCAGGGGGCTTCCCAGGTTCAGATAAACCAAAGAAATAAAGGAAGAAGGAACTGCTGCCTGTTGAACTCTTTTCCATCCTTCAAAGCCCCTACTATAATCCCTACTCCTCCAGGAAGCCTTCCCTGCCCCCCCGACTCTAGGAATCCTGGTCTTGAGTCCTTCTTGCAGTCTCAGCGCCAGCCACTTGGGCCTCAGAAGTAGGGGGAGGGCCCCATGCAAGGCGGGACAGGGGGTCACTTACATAGAGCCGGGGCCGGGGCAGGGCTGGGTCACCGCCGTCACCTGCCAGCCTACGCAGCTTCTCTCCTGGCCCCTCAAGCCCCTCGTCTGGCTCCAGCTCGGGTCCGTCAAGGCCCACACCCCTCCGCTTCAGTGTCTGTGGGAAGGGGAGACAGCAGGGTGACACCCCCATCCCACCTAGCTCTGTGGGCAGGTAGGATGCAGGCACAGCTGCTCCAGCTAAATCCCGTTAACCAAATACCCCAGGGAGTTGTCATCTAGTAACCTCCCACCGTACATGAGAGAAGGGCTGTCCTGCCTTGGGGCCAGAGAGGCCCAGGTCACGCAGCTGGGGCGGAGATCCACCCAGGCCTGCTGGCATTATCCTTATGCTCCTCCTGAGCATGATTTGGTTTCTCCATTCTGTGCCCAGGCGCAGCCTCAGAGCCTGGCATGCAGTAGGTGGTTAATGAGCATCAGCTAGTTGAGCATCTACAGGCTCCTTTACAGGCTCTCCTAAGCTGTCACCCCCCTGGGACCAGTGATCTCCATACCCCTAGACCCCTACCTCTCCTCTACCAGCTTCCCCCCACTGTCTGTCACCTCAGGGCTCCCCAGACCGTCAGTCCCAGCCCGGGGCTCTGTCCACCCAGTGGCTTCAGCTTCCCTTTCCGGGTAAAGATGTCCAGATCCAAAGTGACAGTGATCTTGGCGCCACAACTACTGAGCCTGTGCGCTCTCCAGCCCACACTCCACGAGGGAAGCCCGCCTGTGACGTCTGAAGAGAAGCCCACGAGCCACAGTGAGGGCCCAGTGAAGACCCAGCACAGCCAAAACCCAAAAGGAAAAAATAAATAAAGTGATAGTGACCTTGCCCATCCTGGGTGGTGCTGGGCAGCTGCCCCTGGAAGGGCCTCTCCATCACCCCAGACCTGCTCTGACTGCGTGCGTGTGTGCACGCGAGCTCAGTCGCTCAGTGGTGTTTGGTTCTTTGCGATGCTATGGGCTCTAGCCTGCCAGGCTCTTTTATACAGGAAGTCTTCCAGGCAAGAATACTGGAGTGGTTGCCATTTCCTCTCCAGGGGATCCAGCAAAGCCAAACTGCAATGCTCATCTTTGGTGCAAACCAAGAGTCCCTAGGCTCTGAGTGCGCAGAGCACCAGGCCCGCGCGGCCAGGGAGGAGGCCCCGGGTACCTCGAGGATGTCGGTGTTGGTGCGGCTCTCGTGCGGCTCGCTATACTCCGTGTACTTCAGAAGCACCCGGTCCATGTCTGTGCTGGCATACTGGAAGAGGCGATTGGAGCTGTTGAAGATGATGAGGGCGATCTCACAGTCACAGAGCACGCTCAGCTCATAGGCCTTCTTCATCAGCCCGAACTTCCGCTTGGTAAATGTTACCTGGACTCAGTATGCAAAGGCAGGGCGGGAGAAGACAGAAATGCAGGATGGTGAGAGGGGAGGCCGAGAGGCCTGTCTCTGCATGAGCATGCTTCATGACTTCATGCCTTTGCGAGTGCTCTTTCCAGTTGTACCACCCTTCACTTCTCAGCCTGGCAAGCTCCTACTGATGCTTCAAAACCTGGCCCAATGTCCTCTCCTTTGGGAGGTCTCCCTTGGTCTCCAGGCAGATCCCACATTCCCTCTCTGAGCTTCCCCAGCTCTGCACCTGTCTCTGGCCCAGCACTTTGAGTTGGATGTGTTTGTGTTGAGTTCCATCTCCCCTGTGACTGGGGCTCCAGTCATCACAGAGAATCAATGAATACACCATCATGAGAAAGAGTAAATGCTACATCTCAAACTCCTGACACTACATCGAGTCTGCTTATTCCCTTGCAGTTCCCCCAAATGGCCAAGCCTCTGCCCAGGCTGTGTTTCTTCTGCCAGGAAAGCCTTTCCCCCAGCCACCGTTCCACCCAGTGAACTCACCTGCCGATTCCTTTGGTCCAGAATACGTGAGATCTGAATTTTTTTCCTCCCCATGTCCCAGGCTGGGTGGAGTGTCCTTTTTCTGGAGGTTGGGGTGGGGGAGGGAAAGAGAACAGAGTGGGTGGATGGAAAGTGGGGACAGGCACCCCAGCATACCCTCTATCTTCCTGCTACCCCTGCCAGGAGACAGTGGGGGAGAATGAGGTGGGCTGGGTCACCCCCACATCTCACACCCTCAACCAGCCCAGGATGCATCAAATGCTCACTGAACACTTTCAGACCAATGCCTTATAAGGAAAAGATTGACCAAGGGGGAAAGATTGAGAGGTACAGGTGCCCCCAACTGAGGCTCTAAAGCAAAACACGCTGATAACTGTGGGACCTCAGGGGAGCCTGACCCCGTCTGTGCGTGGAGATACCAGCACACCGCCCTGCCCAGCGCTGCTGGGGCGTAAAATGAGCTAAGCCACAGAGGGACTCGGGCCTGCCCTGCGGACAGCAGGTGCCGCGGGTGCACCGCTGTCAGGGGCGCCAGTGGCCTGCAGTCCACAGCAGGCCAGCCGACGAGGGCACCCAGCGGGGCTCAGCGATCCGGGAGTAAGCCTGACCCACACGGCAGACACTTTTCAACTCGTTCAATCCACCCACGGCGGCCCTTCCATGAGCAAAGTTGAGGGCTGTGGTTACCAGAAAACATACATTAAAATATATATAAAACACATGTTTAAAAATTGCATTGCGAGTGGAAAAGACTAGAAGGAAATACTCAAGCTGGGAGTCCGTGCTGGGTGGAAATTTATGGGTTTTTAAAATTGAGGTGCAACTCACTTAACATAAAATTTGCCATTTTAACATGTGCAATTCAGTGACGTTTAGAGCATTCATGATGTTGTGCAAGCATCATCTCTACCTAGTTCCAGAAACTTTACATCCTCTGCAAAGGAGACCCCAGGGGCTTTCCTGGCAGTCCAGTAGTTAAGACTCCGTGCTTCCACTGCAGGGGGTTGGGTTCAATCCCTGGCCAGGGAAATAAGATCCCATATGCAGTTTGGCAAGACCAAAAAACCAAAACCAAACAAACCAAAAACCCGGAAAGCAAAACAAAGAGAAGACCCAGCCCCATAGCAGCCACTCCCCATTCCCCCTTCCTCAGCCCCTAGCGACCACTAATCTATGGATTTGGCCTGTTCTGGACATTTCTTATAAGTGGAATCATACAATATGTGGCCTTTTCATCCTTTCTTTTTTCATTTTTATCTTTTGAATTATCTAACTTTTTTCCCTCAGTGATTAAAGATTTCTATTTTTAAAAATGTGTGTTGGTTGGGGGGTGGGGAGCACTCCCCTGGAGGTTCAGTGGTTAAGACTCTGCGCTTCCACCTCAGGGTGCTTGGATTGGATCCCTGGTCGGGGAACTAAGATCCCACATGCTGCATGGCACAGCCAAAAAGCAGAAATAAAAACGGGGGGAGCCTGAGAGAAACCCCATCCCTGACCTACTCTCCAGTGGGGGGAGGGGGAATCCCCTGGGAAGACTCACACTTGGAAACTTCAGACTGGGAGGAGGGGTGGGCTCATGCAAACTAGAGAGAAAGCCTGGACCCCTCCTCATGGGGATCTGGGATCTCCCTGGTGGGGGCCCCAAGGTGAGCATAGGCAGCTCAGGGAGGGCAACGAGTAACCAAGACCTGGCCCCAGCCTTCCCCAGCAGCACCCAGGCAAGGCTCCTGGGATCAAGGAATCATATCGCCTGTCCTGCAGCCCCCACCCCACGGCTCCTGAGACCCCTTCGCCAACCCCATGACCACACTCCACCCCCGCAGTGTCATAGGTGACTGAGGCCACGCCACAGGCCTTCCCCAGGATGAGGTGGGCCCGTGCTCAGGTCCCAGCCAGCCTCAGACCAGAAGAGAGGTCTTCGGTAAGGGCGGCCTCTCCCTGGGCCTCAGTTTGCGGTTCTGTGAATGGGGTGGGCATGAAACGCAGAGTACCTCACACAAAGCCTGAGAATGAGGTCTTGGGAAGTGCAGGGAAATGCAGGTCTGTCTCTGGGAGAAACACACCCCAGCCCGAGGGGCCTGGGGGTGCTCCCCATCTTCCCAAAGATCCAGAGCTGGAAATGTGAGTCACCCCAGCCTGTCACATGCAGCCCACTAGGTCACCCCAGGCACACCCTCCACCTTCCCTGGTCTGGGTCTCTGAGTAGTTACGACTATGCGGAGTCCAGGCCAAAATGAGCCACCATGGCCCCCCAGCTCCAGCCTGACTTGCTAAATTTAACCTTTGGGGCTAATTTTAATCCCTGTCCGGAATCAGGCTAGTTCCCACGGCTGGGATGCATTATCCCCGCCCTGAAGGGTCCCTGGGGACAGGAGGAGGGCACTGGCCCAGAGGCCTTGGTGCCAAGATGATTCCGGAAATGCCCCCCACGCCTGGAATCCCATGGGAATGTGGGACTTGGACATGAGTCTCGGGGTCTGGAAGATCCAACTTTGGCCCCTTCTCCATCTGCCCCCATTTTAGACAAGGACCTCCTGGCCGGGGCAGGGTTCACATAATGGGGGTGCCCCTGAGAGCCAGACGGTCAGGAGGCGGACTCTGAACTGAGACTCAAGAGCTGAGACAGGAAGTGAGTTTTAGGCAGAGGGAATGGCAGGTGCAAAGTCCCTGAGGAAGAAGAAGACCCATCAACAAGGCTGCAGTGAGGGAGAAGTGCAGAGGCAGGACCACCCCAGGTCCGCTGAGCTGCAGCGAGGCCTCTGGGTTTCGGTCTAAGAGGACAGGACGCTGCAGGGAGGCCAGAGCTGTGTCCGTCTGGGCCGAGCCCGGGGCTGGGCCCCCTCTGCGCTGGGCCTGAGTCTTGCACTGTAAGTCACTGTGCTCTGGGCTCTTCGGCTCCTCGAGAGGCCACCAGGTCCTCTGCCATCTCCAGAGGCAGGCCTGACAGGTGCAGATGGACTCATGCAGCGCTTTGAGTCTTCTGACCCTTGGTGACTTTGGAACCCCCAGTCTTCACCTAGGAACCAAGTTCCCCCTGCTCTGGTCCTGGAGGGGTCTACCCAGCACATAGCTCTGATCATGCCCCTTCTTCATGACACACTCCTCACGGCCCCCCACTGCCCTCAGGAGGAAGGAAGTTCCGGGCCTCAATCTGGCATTCAAGGCCCTGCCCACTCTTCTCCAACTTCAACAAAACGTCTGTTTGAAATCCCCTTCTTGCCTGTTCTGCACCTGGCCAACTCCTATTCACCCTTCAAAACCCAGCTCAAGAAACCCATTCCTTCAACCTACTCTCCAGTGGGGGGAGGGGGAATCCCCTGGGAAGACTCACACTTGGAAACTTCAGACTGGGAGGAGGGGTGGGCTCATGCAAACTAGAGAGAAAGCCTGGACCCCTCCTCATGGGGATCTGGGATCTCCCTGGTGGGGGCCCCAAGGTGAGCATAGGCAGCTCAGGGAGGGCAACGAGTAACCAAGACCTGGCCCCAGCCTTCCCCAGCAGCACCCAGGCAAGGCTCCTGGGATCAAGGAATCATATCGCCTGTCCTGCAGCCCCCACCCCACGGCTCCTGAGACCCCTTCGCCAACCCCATGACCACACTCCACCCCCGCAGTGTCATAGGTGACTGAGGCCACGCCACAGGCCTTCCCCAGGATGAGGTGGGCCCGTGCTCAGGTCCCAGCCAGCCTCAGACCAGAAGAGAGGTCTTCGGTAAGGGCGGCCTCTCCCTGGGCCTCAGTTTGCGGTTCTGTGAATGGGGTGGGCATGAAACGCAGAGTACCTCGCACAAAGCCTGAGAATGAGGTCTTGGGAAGTGCAGGGAAATGCAGGTCTGTCTCTGGGAGAAACACACCCCAGCCCGAGGGGCCTGGGGGTGCTCCCCATCTTCCCAAAGATCCAGAGCTGGAAATGTGAGTCACCCCAGCCTGTCACATGCAGCCCACTAGGTCACCCCAGGCACACCCTCCACCTTCCCTGGTCTGGGTCTCTGAGTAGTTACGACTATGCGGAGTCCAGGCCAAAATGAGCCACCATGGCCCCCCAGCTCCAGCCTGACTTGCTAAATTTAACCTTTGGGGCTAATTTTAATCCCTGTCCGGAATCAGGCTAGTTCCCACGGCTGGGATGCATTATCCCCGCCCTGAAGGGTCCCTGGGGACAGGAGGAGGGCACTGGCCCAGAGGCCTTGGTGCCAAGATGATTCCGGAAATGCCCCCCACGCCTGGAATCCCATGGGAATGTGGGACTTGGACATGAGTCTCGGGGTCTGGAAGATCCAACTTTGGCCCCTTCTCCATCTGCCCCCATTTTAGACAAGGACCTCCTGGCCGGGGCAGGGTTCACATAATGGGGGTGCCCCTGAGAGCCAGACGGTCAGGAGGCGGACTCTGAACTGAGACTCAAGAGCTGAGACAGGAAGTGAGTTTTAGGCAGAGGGAATGGCAGGTGCAAAGTCCCTGAGGAAGAAGAAGACCCATCAACAAGGCTGCAGTGAGGGAGAAGTGCAGAGGCAGGACCACCCCAGGTCCGCTGAGCTGCAGCGAGGCCTCTGGGTTTCGGTCTAAGAGGACAGGACGCTGCAGGGAGGCCAGAGCTGTGTCCGTCTGGGCCGAGCCCGGGGCTGGGCCCCCTCTGCGCTGGGCCTGAGTCTTGCACTGTAAGTCACTGTGCTCTGGGCTCTTCGGCTCCTCGAGAGGCCACCAGGTCCTCTGCCATCTCCGGAGGCAGGCCTGACAGGTGCAGATGGACTCATGCAGCGCTTTGAGTCTTCTGACCCTTGGTGACTTTGGAACCCCCAGTCTTCACCTAGGAACCAAGTCACCCCCTGCTCTGGTCCTGGAGGGGTCTACCAAGCACATAGCTCTGATCATGCCCCTTCTTCATGACACACTCCTCACGGCCCCCCACTGCCCTCAGGAGGAAGGAAGTTCCGGTCCTCAATCTGGCATTCAAGGCCCTGCCCACTCTTCTCCACCTTCAACAAAACGTCTGTTTGAAATCCCCTTCTTGCCTGTTCTGCACCTGGCCAACTCCTATTCACACTTCAAAACCCAGCTCAAGAAACCCATTCCTTCAGGAAGCCCTCCCTGGCCTCTCACTCTGGTCTCCCTCCGCCTCCATCCTTCCCCCCGAGTCCTGGCACTGGGCTGTCGGATGGGGGGTCGTATATCCTCCACTCTCCTTCTCCCCTAGCCTGGAAGACCCTTAGGACCAGACACAGGGGTGACTGGGAAGATATGGAGTGGGTCAAGAGGGACACATCTGAACTCCCCTCAGCTTCCCTCAACAACTTCCTCTCAGACTCCCCCAGCTGACTCCCTACCCAGAAATACACGCGCATGCAAATCCAACCGCTCAGCGTTGACCTGCCTCAGGCCCAGGTGTGAAGGGCCTGCCAAGGAATGCAGAGGCGGGAGGCCCAGGGTGTGCATATATATTTGTACTCACATGCAAATCCCCACCCTGAGCCGCAGACAGACCTGGCGGCCAGTTCTCCAGATGTTGGCGTGATGGTGATCGGAACTGCTGGGGGGAGGTGGTGGTGCGTGCTGAATGTGCAGGGCACGAGGCAGGAGGCTGAGGTTAGGAGAGGCTGAGGTTGGGGAAGGCCTCTTCTGGGCACAAGCCCCCCGCCCCCCCCACCAAGGTCCAGCTAGAAAGCCTAGGGCTTGTTGCATCTGCCCAGCAGAGTGGCAGAGGTGAACCCATCAACCCAGGAAAGGGAAGAAGAGCCAGGAGAAATCCAAGAGGGCACTTCAACGGAGGAAACATGCAGCTGGGCCTCAGTGGGAGGGCTGGATGGGGGCCTGAGCACATGGGCAGGGGAGTGGGCATTTGAAGTCAAGAGTCCAGTACCTCCCTATCCCTAACTTTGTACCCCACTTATCAAGTGCCAACTATGTGCCAACCATTGTGATAAACTGACCTCAAAAGAAATAGAAAACTCAAGTAGACCAATGACCATGGAAAATTAAAAAAGTGTCTCGAGACCTACCATTAAAAGGATAACAGGCCCCTACAGTTTTATAGCTGTTTTATCAAAGCTTAGAGGACAGGAAAGTGAAATTTAAACTAACTCAGATCTTTAAAAACAGGGGCACTCCAAGTCATTTTAATGCAACTCTTATAGGTCAGAACCTAAGTCTAAAAAGAGAGGCGTATTGACCACAGAAGGGGCAATGTTAGTAGCCAGGGATTCAAGGAAGACCTCGCTGAAGAGGTGACGTTTGACCTGAGACCAGAGGCACAGGAAAGGCACAGGCAACAAAGGGAAGAGTCACAGAGAAGATCTGGTGGAAGGGTGTCCCAGGCAGGGGGAACTGCAAGGACAAAAGCTCAGAGTGCTCATGAGCTTGACATTTTGGAAACAGCAAAGAAGTCTGAATGGCTGGACAACGTGAACAAGGGAGAGAGGGGAGGGGGATGGTGGTGGTGGGAGTGGGGTTTGGATCACGTAGGTCCTTGTGGGCCATGGTGAAGGCCCACTCTGAGGGCATTAGGGAGCTATAGAGAATTGGGGGGCAAAGGAGTACCTAGATATGATTGTGACAGTTTAAAATCCCCCCGTATTTTCATGCATTGCTGGTGGAAGGGGAAAGAAGAGCCACTCTGAAAAACTGTCTGGCATCTACTAAAGCTGAACAAGCAGCTACCCTCCAACCCAGTGATCCCCTTGTATTTACAGAAGACAAATGGGCCCATCTAAGAAATCACACAAACAAGAACATTCTCAGCAACTTCATTCATCATAGCCCCAAACTGGAAATGATTCAAATGCCCTCAGTGGGAGAACTGACAACTACTTTCTGCTAAATTCTATGGTGGGCTACTATACAGCACAGAAAAAGGATGCGTCTCAGCTCCACACAATCGCACACATGAACCTCCCAGATCATGGGCTGATTCAACAATATTGGGCTCTGCAGAGGGGACAAGCCATGTGATTCCATTGATACGAAGTTCCAGAAAAGGCAAAACTCACCTCCAGTGATGGACATGAGCACAGTGGCCACGCTAAGCAGGTGCTGTGACAGGATAGTGCAGGTCAGGGGGCTGGAGTGTTCTGTTCCCTGGACCAGCTGCATTCAGTTGGTGTAAGTTTTTCAGCCCTACTCCAATGATTTCTGCATTTCCCTCTATGTGACTTAACCAAAAGGATTTTTTTAAAAGTACCCCCCCCCCCGCCCCCACTCAGGTTGCTGCGAGGATAGCATCTGCCTGGGTAGGAGTGAGATGACAAGGAGAAGCTGGGGCAGACGTCCAGGCAGGAGATGTGGGGCCTGAACTGAGGCCGGGGCTGCAGGAAGGCAGAGAGGATGGGCTGTTGGCAACCGAGGGGACAGGATATGATGGTGGCATAAGCCTGGGGTTGGAGGGAGCCTGGGGCCTCAGGCCTGAGCATTATTTGTGGGGGAAACTGAGGGTGCGTGTGGTGCATACATGCATGCTAAGTCATGTTCAACTCTTTGCGATGCCATGGACTATATACCCCGCCAGGCTCCTCTGTCCATGGAATTCAGCAGGCAAGAATACTGGAGTGGGTTGCCATTCCCTTCTCCAGGGGATCTTCCCAACCCAGGGATCAAAACCAACTCTCCTGAATTGCAGGTGGGTTCTTTACCGCTGAGCCACCGGGGAAGCCCCAAACTGGGGGTACACAGGAAGATTTCATAAGCACCTGGAGCATGACTAAGTCTACTGTGACAGCTGTGGTCACTAAGTCCATCAACAAGCACCCCTGAAGTCCTCCAGGCCGTGACTGTCACCTCCCTCTAAGAGACCTCTCAGTGCCCTGGTGATGGAGATGGAGGTCTGGAGGGGATCCCACCCTCCCCTCACCCTTCACTGTGGGCCTCTTCATGTGGAAGGACTCAGCTTTCTCATCTATAAGTGGGAGTGAGAATCCATCCGCCACCAGCTGAGGAGGAGGGGGCAGAGGAGGGGTCTTTCGACCTTGTCTCTGGACTCCCAGAAGCCAGAAGACAGAGGGGCTTTGGAGCTGGGGTGCTGAGTCAGCGTGCAATCTTTCAAGGCCACGGGGACCCTTCCTGTGGCAGGCTGGGCGACATCAGGCCCCTACCTGCCCCCTCTCCATAAAGCGGGTCATGGCATCCTGATCTCAAAGGCTCTGCAGCGAGGGTCTGAGATAAAACACCAGGAGCTGTCGCGTTCCCCTTCTTGGCTCTCAGCGGGCTCTAATGGAGGGGCCAGCAGCAGTCAGGCTGCCCAACCCTCGAGCCCAGAGGCCACAGTGTGGCGGGGTACCCAGGCCGGGAAGGAGGGGAGGAAAGGAGAAGTGAGAGGCAGGTGGGTGGCGGGGGGAGGTGAGGGCTCAGGGGACGCGGCGAAGCGGGGAGGGGTCGCTGTGCCTGGGCCCTGCAGCAAATCAGCCCAGCAGCCCGGCCTCACGCAACCCTGGCGGTGGTTTCATCACCTGTTCCCCAAGCACCTCGTTACGGGCGACAGGAAGAGCCCCTTGGAAAGTCGGGACCCCCCCTCCCCTCTCTTGAGGGCTCCGGCGGCTCTGACCCCAGCTGCTGGAGACCCTCCCCCACCCCAGCCGGGGCCCTGGGCCGTCTCCTCCCCCGGGAGCCTGCGGAGATGGAGGCCCAGGTGGGGGGGCACTGTGGGTGACCTAGGGGCTGGCTAGCCCACAGCGGCCCCTCTCCTGCCCTCGGGAGAAGGCGGGCTCTGGCAGTGACTCCTGTGTGGCCAAGCCTCTCCGGGCCTCAGCTTCCTACCCCAGAAGATGGGGAGATCCGGGGACACCTCCCTGAGTTGGGGGAGCTCTCTGCACAGGTGCGGTTGAGATGCTGGAGCAGAACTCCCTAGGGGCTTCTCTGCTCAGCCCGGGGGTGCCCAGGGCGGACTGAGGGCACCAGGCAGGCCCAGGAAGGGTGCTGGGGGCAGGCGGCTCAGGCGGACAGCCCTTCCTCACACCCACAGACGCGGCTTTGGGAGACGCCCCTTATAGGGAGCCTCCCCGAAACACGTGCAGTCCACAGTTCTTGCAGACCCCTCCCAAACCCACATGGAACACGTATCCCGCAGACCAGACACGGATGCCCAGGTACACAGAGACCTCTCCCACGCACACGGGGTCCCCGCCACATGCCAATCCCCCAAATGCACACAAACCCTCATCATGTGCAGACAGCCCCAAACACACCGTGACCCCAAGATGTAACCTTTCCAGACACACATAGAGCTCCCCCAAACACAGGGAGACTCCCCAGATCCATGCTGGCACCTGGACACAGATCGGGCCTCTGTCTCTGCAGGGGTAGTGCCCACCCTCTGGCTTCCTGAGGCAGGGTGGGAGCACTCCCCAGGGGAGAGATGCAGGTTAGGGGGTGGGGGTTCTGCGGGTGGGGTGAGGGGGCCAGAAGGCCTCAGGGATCATATGTATGGACACAGCGTGGGGACCACAGGCTACATAGATGCAGGTGGCAGGGGGCTGTGGGCATCTTCGGGTAGTTCTGGGGACTGGGGGCGGGAGGGGTTGAGGGTGGGATGCGTTAGCCACGTGCTGGCTCTGAATCCCAGAAACCCAGAAGGTTTCAGGTGGAGAAGGCCCTTTGTGGGGGGAGATCCCTTTGTCTATCGGTCCTTCTGACAATCATGGGGAAACTGAGGCTCAGGTGGGAATCCTCAAACCCCCCTTCACAGACCCCTCTGCAGGCCTGCTTACGGGAGGGCCCAGCGAGGCTGTGTGCTGAGGGGTCTGTGGGCCTGGCTGTGGCTGGGGGCTTGGCCAGACCAGGGTTCCTACCCTGGCTCCACTGAACAGTCAGTGCTTGACATGCTCCAAGCCTGTTTCCCCATCTATGCAGCGGGCCCTGGCACCCACTCACCTGTGCCTCCACTTTAGAAAGGCCTCATCTAACAACAGACTTGCTCACCTTCTGCCCCATTCCTGGCACCTGAGACACCAGCCCCAGACAGACCTGCCTCCTCTCCATTGCCAGGTCTTTGCCCGCTGTGCCCTCTGTCCTGAACACCCTTCTCAGACTCACCCAGATTTGAGAAGCTGCTACATGTCCTTCAAGGCTGGGCAGAAATCTCTCTAGGAGCGCTAACTTCGCCAGAGCAGATTTCTCTTTCTCTGTGTAGCTAAGTCATACCAGGTATTTTTGGTGCTTCTTTGTTAGTTTCTCTGATGATCGCGTGGTGTGTGTTAGTCACTCAGTCGTGTCCGCCTCTTTGTGACCCTATGGACCCTGTTGAGCCCGCCAGGCTCCTCTGTCCATGGGACTCTCCAGGCAAGAACACTGGAGTGGATAGCCATTCCCTTCTCCAGGGGGTCTTCCCGACGCAGCAATCGAGCCCGGGTCTCCTGCACTGCAGGCAGACTCTACGGTCTGAGCCTCTCTGAGGTCCATTCCATGAGGGCAGAGGTGGAGCCTTCCCAATGCCCAGCACAGAGTAGGTCTGCAATCACCCTTCCTTGAACGAGCCAACCAACAGCTGCTTAACAAGCAGAAGAAGCATCGGCAATTGGCTCCGTTTCCTCTCAAACACCCCATGGCTCACAGAGCAGGCTCGAGGCCCCCAGCATCCTCACGGGAAAAAGCCCCCAGCACGACGGCCCGCTGGGTGCTGCTCACGCCCTTCTCAGCCCCAGGTTCCTGTGCCCACCCGGGGAGGAAATTACGTCCTGAGGTCATGAGGGCCTGGCTGCCCTGTCCACTGCAGGTCTTGCCAGGAAGGCCGGTTTCTCTGCCACAGTCACTGCAAAATAGACTCATTGCCCCATTCGCCTCCCGTGGGGCTTCGGACCTGTACCTCTGGGGCTGGGAGAGACCGTACATTCAACACCCAACCCCGCCATCTCACACAAGTCAGGGCCCTTGCCCAGCCCAAGGCCGCCAACGATGTCCCCTAAGCTGCAGTGGCAGCTACAGGAACGGCCCAAGGTTTCTCTCTCTTTGTTCCAGAGAAAGATGTCCCCATAGGGCCCCAGAAATTCATCCCCAGAGGCCTGGGCCTCCCTGCTTGGGAAATTAACACATCTGTCAGAGCTGGGCGGAAGGGACTCAGTCCACAGCCCAGCAGAGCAGAGATGCAGCCGGGGGGGACCCAACCTGGGGCCCCTGGGGCATCCCTGGTCCCCACTTTCTTCCCCCAGAAATAACTATGGCTCACCAAGGTGTCGGGGATACAAGGGCAGGGAGGAGACAGACCCAGCCTGACCTTCTGCACCGCCCAGTCTGGTGAGGGAGAGGACAGACACGTCACAGTGTCAGGGACAGAAGACTCTAACGACGGAATTTTACAGGGGGAGGCGGTGGGGGAGAAAGGGGGAGAAAGCTGCTTTGAGCAGAGGGGCCAGAAGAGGCTTTCTGGGAAGGGAAACACAGGGAGGAGAGTACACCCGCCATGAAAGGATGGGGAGAAGGGTGGGTGCAAAGGCCCGGAGGTGGGAATGTGCTAGGTGGGTTCCAGGTATGGCGGAGGTTGGTATTGCAGAGAATGGGTGAGCAACAGGCAACCAGAAGCAGGGAGGCCACAGGGGACTCGGGAATCAGGGCGAGAGAGTGGGCTACAGAGCAACTGAGTCATGGAGGGTCTATGAGTCGGGGTGGCGGGCGCCGGGGGCTGCGGTACGATCGCAGATTTTCCGCAGACCCCGTGGCTGCTATGAGGAGGAGTCCTTTAGGTGCAGGACAGCATCCAGCAGGAGGTGAGGCTCTGGTTATGGAAACGGGACAAAGGCAGGCCGGTGTCACAGTAGTGACTCGTTGTGACAGCTGGCCTGCACTGTTCCCTTCCGAAGACCCCAGCTCAACCAGACCCCCAGCTCAACCTCTAGTGAACACGAACCTGGAGGGGGGCAGACAGGGAAGCGGACAGGCCTGAGGCCTGCCTGGTGCCTGGTGGAGGGTGGGGTGAGGTGGGCCTGGATGGGGCCCACATGCACTCCACTCGGTCATCGTTCGGATGGCACCTCCTGTTTCTGGGTGCCTGCTGTCTGCCCGGGGCCCACACTCCTCCTCATTTACACACGGGACCAGCCTGACTCAGATAGCCTAGTGAAGCGGAGGCGGCTGCCCTGTTCCACACAGTAGGAAGTAGGCTCCTTCCCAGGGCCACACAGTGGGACCCCAGATCCTCATTCAAGTGTGGGTTTGTATCCCATGGCTGTCGAGCTGCACCCCAAACCCAGCCCCCCTCAGCCCCCCGACCCTGTTCGAGAAGTGGGCCTGGGTACTAGTGGGGTCTGAGACACTCATTTCTGGGCTGCCGGGGGCCAATGGGCAGCCTCACAAGGCCCCCAGGTTGCAGGCACAGGGGAGCTCTTTGGGGGTGCTGAGAAATGGGATCCAGTCCTTGTGTACACCTGACTGGGATTCATGAGCCTGGGCGGGGGTGACCTCTCCTACCCCAAATGGGATCCCAGGCGTGTGATAAATCCTCTCCAAAAAATGACATCTGTCTGCAAGTGCCTATGTGCCTCAAACCTTCCGGAAGGTCAAATCCCCAACATGTCTACACTCATTGCATCTGAGTTGGGGTGACAAATGACCTTAATTCCCTCTCTCCTCTAATTTGCATTTTCCAGATGTCTGCCTGGTTGGGTAATGATTTAATGAAATCAATCATTACTTGGAGATGGGAAGTAAGATCAAGCTCAGATTGCTTAGGTCACAAGGGCATCCAGAGAGCTCAGAAAAGGGCAGTGACCTGTCTGAGGTCACACAGAAAGGGGCAAGAGGAAGCTGGGGCCAGCCGTTCACTTCTGGCTTTTGTTCTCCTAGGGTCTGAGGGGCAGCCTGGAGCCCATCCTTTCTCTGAGGGGCCTGCACGTTTCCACCTGGCCTCAGTCTTCCCTCCTGCAAAGTGGCAATTTCAGACTAGATAGTGAGTTTCCAGCTCACACAGGCGAGACCCCAGGACCCTCAATGTCCCCAAATTCCATTCCCTGGAAGCCAAGATTCACTTCTGGACGTAGGTGATGGAAGGCAGGTATGGGGACAGGAGGGAGCAAGGTTTTCTCCCAAAGCTCCGTTGACTTTTGGAATCAAACACCACACACTTGTCCTTCTGAGTCTAAATACTTTTTTGAACCCCATTTCCTTTACCCCAAGAGCCTGCAAGTGCTCAACCCCAGATGCCAGAGGTCCAGAGGTGCTGACCTTCCCCTGTGAGGGTTCTCAGCCAGGTCAGGCAAAAGGCCTCATCTGTGCCTGACCTCTCAGGTATGCAGCTTGGGGACAGGGAATAGCCTGGGACTCCGGCTGGTGACATCCATTGCCCAGGACCCTGAGAGACACAGAGGGTGGGGACCATGACTTGGTCCCCACGAGTAACTCGGCCACCAGTTTGTCATGTGCTGACAACCTCGGGGGGCTGGGACTACTGTTCCTCCGATGAGACACTGAGGCATGGGGAGGAAGTGGCCCAGGCACTTGTGGTCCCCTGCTCAGAGCTCCATGCCCACCATCCTGCCCGCAGCCACAGAGGCACCCCGTGGGCCCAGCCGAGGCCCCTCTTTCACTGCACGAGGTACAAACCCCACAGGGTGGGTGAGGGTCATGGCGGTCACAGGCACACGTGGATGCCATGCCACACGAAGGTGCAGGGCCGTGACACACAAGGGCACACTCACGCAGGAAGGCAGGGACTGTGGTTGTGCACGGGGGCCTCCAGGATGCACAAAGGGGTGTGCCCCAGGAAAAGGAACCGCTGGAGCTCACAGACGCAGACCAGAGTCTATTGCATAGAGGGCGTGCCCTACGGGCCACGTTGAGCGGGCACTTGGGCGTGGCCGGGTCCCGGGAGTTCCGGGAGCGGGAATCAGACACTGGAAGACTGTGAGGTGGGGAAATAGTATAATGAGGCAGAGGTCCACGAAGAGGGCTGGATCAGACTTGGCAGGCATCCCCCGCTGTCAGTGGGCGACCCTGACCTTACTATTGAGCCTGACCCTAATTTGGACCCTGTCTGTAACCCCTGCTATCTCCTACCCTGGACTTACTCCAACCTAAGTGAAATGTAACTCCGATCGGGACCCTGAGGCCCCAGACATAGAGACCTTCTGGCAGCCAACCCTGACCCTTGCCCTCACCCAGATGCAGGGACTGCAGAAGAGGCTTCTGAGATTGCTTGTGGCCTCACCCAGCTGCGTGCCTTCGGCAGCAGCATGTGTGACCCACATATTTCGACAGGAGAATAACAGAGCCCTCGGTAACTGGGCGCCCTCCTCCTTAAACGGTCATCTTCCGGGACTCGACCCCTCTTCTCTGGGACCCCCGCACCACCCAGGACAGGTCCCAAATCCAGAGGGGGATCAGAGCAGGGTTAGGGAGTGAATCAAGGTGGAAAGGCTTGCAGGATGATTATGACTTTGGACTGGGCAATTCTGGAGAAGCCCCCAGTCTGGAGGGCTTCCCCCAAAGAGGGGGCAATTGTAATGGGCCTTGAAGCCTGAGGAAGAGTTTGGAATTGGTGAGTTTTTCCAAGAGGACTTGCAAGGGGGCAGAGAAAGGGTGCAGAACATTCTTTGGTGGGGTAAGATGAAGCCCGAGCAGTGAGTGGAAGTAGATCGGGCTGGAGGCCCTTTAAAAAAGGGCTTGGAGATAGCAGGAGGGGGCCCATGTGGGGCAGATGAAAGGGCAGAGTAGTAGGCTGCAATGGCTGTCTGTCCATCTTCTCAGAACACAACAGACGATGGTCAGCCCTCTGGACTCAGGAGGGAATGTGGCGATATTAGCATGTGAGGGAAACTGAGGAAGGGAACAGAGATCCTGGGAGGCTTGTCCTCCCCACACAGCAATTTCCCTATCTGTGACAAGGGTAGTTTGCACCCCTAGCCTGGAAACAGATTTTTCTTTGAAAAAACAAAAACTAGGGTTGGTGGGGATCAGGTTTCCTGCCTCTCCCACCTTATCCTTGTTGGCCTTCAGTGCCCAACACCAGATGTTCCGGTGTCCCAAGGACACCCCAGGGTGACCCAGGCCAGGCTGGGGGCTTCTGCCTAGGCTCCAAGGCACAGAATGAGTCCTGCAGTGTGTGGAGGTGGCTAGGGAGCCCTGGGCCCCTCGAGGGCCGCTCTGTTTACCTGAGACCGCCCGCTTGCCTCTGATGCAACAGGCAGGCTCTGGTTACGTGAGGGCGGCAGCTGGAGCAGCCCTGGGGGCAGGCAGAGCGGAGCCGGGGGCTGCCCACCGCGGGGCACACCCCCCGCCCCTCCCACCACTGGGGCTCCCTTCTGTGCTCTCGCCCCTGCCATGTGGCCCCCTTCCACCTCTCTCGTTCCCAAACCCCCTTCCCAATCCGGTCCAGACACTCTCCCATCATTCACACTGTTTCCTATAATGGCTCCTTCTTGCCTTTACCCCTGTTCCTGTCCTATACATGTGCCCATCACTGGCTGTGTTAGCCTGTGTGGACCCACATCCTCCCCTGGGGCAATCAGGAACCCTGACCTCAGTCTTTTCTGATGAGGGGACCCTCTTAGGAGCTGGAGTAAGAGACTGGGGGTTGAAAGGGAGATTTCAGGGGAGAATGGAATCTGGGAAGAGGGCCTGGTAGATGGGGAAGGTGGACTTGGGTGGGAAGGTAAGGGGTGTAGAAGCTGCTCCCCCCAAGTCTCCCTTCTCCATATCCTCTCCCAGAATGTCAGCAGAGGAAGCCTTTGACGGATCCTCCGTGGTAAGGGCAGTGTGGTTCGGTGGGTAGGGCTTCAGGCTTCGGGGACCCTGGGTTCCCACCAGTTCTGACTCCCGCTCGCTGTCTGGCCTCAGGCCAGTCACTTCACTCCTCCGAGCCTGTTTGCTCATGTGAAAAATGGGGACAGTGGTAGTGCCTCCTCAGGGGTAGGAGTGTTTCAAGCTCCATCTCTAATACCCCCTCCTCCTCCAAAAGCCTTCATTATCCCCCTTCCATCTGGTGTTCTGACACCCCCATCCCTCTTCCCACCTCAGCGCTGACCCAGAGGTTCAGAAATGCCTGTGTTCATCGTATCCGGGAGTCTGGGGTCTCCTTGCGAAAGGGCCGTGTGTTGTGGTAGCACAAAAGGGGTGTTTCATGTGTTTCTTGAAAAACTGGAGAGGTTCTGAGTAGTCTAGGGGTCTGGAGACCAACCTTGGGGCAACCAGAGGCCTTGATGAGGGACGAGGTGGGGCTGGCAACGGGCTTCCCAGAGTCAAGACCCTCTGAGAGGGCAGAGCAGGAGTGAAATAAAAACCAGGATTTGGATCAGTGGCTAAAAATACAAAGTCAAAATTCATGTCTGATTCCTGTCCTGACCACCGTGGACCAACTGCAGGCAAGTCATTGCCCTCTTGGGCCTCCTTTTACTCCATCCAAAGATCTGAAAGCGGGGTTCCACACGTTACCCAGGGAGCTCTTCCAGGTTACCTCCACTCTCATGGGCGCTAGGATCCCTACTTGAATGTCCCTTGGCACAAGGAGGTCGTTTCTGAGAGCAAGTCTTAGTGAGCCAGGGAATGCTTCCACCCTGGTGAATAGATAAGGCCACCAGTGCATGGGGGTAGGTGCGAGGTCTCTCTGGGTAGTGGCCTCTCGAAGTCTTAATTCACTTTCTGGATAACTGGAGCAAGGACTCATGAGGTGAAAAAGGGCTGAGGGTCACGTTGCACTCTCCAGGATCTGCCAAGACTGTAGACAACGACAGCTCAGAGGCGGAGAGCCCCGCCAAGGCTTTGCCTCTTGCGCCCCCTGGCGGTCATCGGGGGTGGGACATTCGCCAGGTGGTGGTTTAGTCGCTAAGTCGCGTCCGACTCTTCACTGTAGGCTGCCAAGCTCCTCTGTCCATGGGCTTCTCCAGGCAAGAATACTGGAGTGGGTTGCCATTTCCTTCTCCAGGTGATCTTCCCGACCCAGGGATCAACCCGGGTCTCCTGCATTGCAGGCTTATTCTTTACCAACTGAGCTATGAGGGAAAACCCAGGGACGTTCGCCAGGAGTGAAGGGCAAACTGGCCATATGAATGAAAGGCAAAATTAATCACACCCGCCGGGGCGCACAGGACTTGGGGTGGTGGTGGAATCTGACAACTCACAGTCCCGCACAGATCTCTTTGGGAGCACTATTAGTCACTGGCTGAGGTCGTGTTCAGAGGCTGTGGGT